ATAATTAAAATATATATATTTATTATATAAATTCATATGTTAGTACTATTATATTAATTAAATTAATATTATATTAATCTTTTTAATTATAGAAAATATTATTTTTATAGTTTATCGTTTATCACATATTTTTATCATTATTTTCAAATAACAGTTTTCAATAAGATTATAAACATTTAAATGATAAATATGTAATTATTACGTTTCAGTTCATAAATTTTATATTTATTATCGCTTCATAATAAGTAGCAGAAAAAATTCGTACAACAGCTTTATACAACGAAGAAGGATTGATATAACTAGGTTATAAAGATAAATATTGACGCAAAGCTGCACCTTTCTTGTGCTAATCCTACTAATCAGCGACGTGTTGGAACAGTAAGGATAGTGAGTAAAAATAGTTTTGACCTTCTTAATTTTTATAGCGCTATTCTTATTTGCATTCTAGTCACGTGTTGTGACTTCGTATGACTGAATAAAGATTGCGGAAACTTTGTTACTAATGTTTCACGAATTATTCATAATAACAATTATAATGCTAAACATATACGCAAAAGCAATACATTTTATTAATAGTCTTTTAAAATATAAAAAAATATGTTGTGAGTGATTAAGCATGATGGAAATACACATTACATATATACTATAAATACATATAGTACATATATGTGCGCAGTTTTATTATATTATATATATATATTTGTATCATAGAAGCAAGATTAAATATATACATGTATAAATATTGAAAACTTTTTTTTAAATAATTACAATCCGTTAATATATACCTACATATATTCTTAAAATTGAGGGGGATTATAAAATTTGATATTAAAAATTAATTTCACTATATTATTTTAAATATTTATTATGAGGAAATATTGAAGGATTCCAAGTTATAAAAATAAATATTTTTAGAATAAATCGTTTCAAAGAAAATTCTTAAAATAGAATTGTCATTAGTCACACATTTATAGTCTCTATCATCGCTTTTGTTTGAAAAGTTTATCAAGTATTTTTAAAAAATTAATTTTATTTTATAGCAATTGATATACTTTTATCAATTTCTTTTATATTTGTATTAATATGCATCTATCTTTAATTGAATTTTTTTTTAAAAACCTTAATTACTATATGATAAAATTTTTGTCTCTACTTTGTTTTTTAGTTATTTTTTATTTAATTTCATGAAATATAAATTTAAAAGGTTAAAAGTGGAACACCTGTGATAATAAAATGCCTTTATATGTCATGCGATGCATTGTTTTCAGAATATATAATACACAAGATAAGAAACAAGATACATAATCTGTGAAGAAAATCCCGCAAAATGACTAATATGTTACACGACTTTGTCACGTTCGTATTTTTAAGAACGTGCATACTCTTTTCTATATAAATGAGCAGAAAATTTGTTTAAGATTATAACGGTTACAGAGTGTGTAACAAAGTACATCTAATATAATAATATAAAACGAACAACTCTATATAGTTGCAGTAAAAGTTGTACAGAAAATACAGTGAAGAACAAAATGTTACGTTTAAGTATTTCAGTTGGACTGTTTATTTTGTATGGAACTGTCTTGACAGAGGTATAAAAAAAAATTTATAATATTTCTTATATATGTATATATGAGCCGTTTATTTTGAAAGTGACCTAAGTCCATTTATTTTTAAATTGAGATATTTAAGAGTTTGCGTTTCAATAAAATTAAAAATATACGTATAGGATACCAACATGTCACACTGCTTAAGTGTATCTAAGAGAGTTAAATTTACAATTCCTATTAAAATAATAGCAATTATTAAGTGAATAATATGTGTTTTCTTACTACAAATGGAGTTAAGCCACTTTCAAAATTAACAACTAGATTTGTTATAAAATTTGAAAGAGCCCAAGTCCATTCGACAATTTAAAATGCTTCAAATTGAAAAAACAATACTCAATTTATTTTATATTATTTCTTTACAACACTTCAAAAACACAATTTATGCAATTCAGGAAATCTTCTAACTATATAAATTACATAACAATTTACTGCTCATCTACATTTTGTGTATGCGGGAGGGATTTGAAGAAGTCATGGTGCTCCGGTAGTATATATCGTAGTAAGTCCATCATGTCCTTATTTCGCTGTTGAAATTTGTCTTATATTTTTATAAAGTGGTGTCAATACAATATTTTCGAATTTTCTTGGTCTACCCCGACGTGGTAATAAATCCAGGATTTTAAACTCTGCATTCTCATCCATTGATATCTTATAGAAAATTTTATATGGTTCATTTCTCAAAAAACGCATCCAGCATATTTTTAACCAATTTATTGTTTCTCCGTTAGAATTCTTTACCCTTTTAAAAACTGCGTCCTCCAAAAATCTTGTTGATATGAAATCCTCTTGTTTCATTTCATTTAGAATAAAGTTATTACCTTTCCGGCACTTTTTGATAACATTATAATAATCTTGGGGGACAAACAGTAAATTATTTTTCTTTAATGACATTTCTACGACGCCAAAATCTCTATCATTCGGTAAAAATGAATGTCCTAATACTAAAAATTTGTGGTCTATGATTTCCACATTATAATAGATTGGACTTAGGCCACTTTCAAAGTAATGTTTTTAATTATTGAAATAATTGCGAAAATTTATGTGTCAGAAATTATCGTATACTCTGAATATACTTAACCGCAAAATGTTGTTTATGATAGCTAACTTCAAGTTGTACACGCTAGTACAGTCAACAACAAAAAATTGACAAATGGACTTAGGCCACTTTCAAAATAAACGGCTCATATATATATTATATACTATATATATTTTATATATATATATACACATATATACAGGGTATCCTATAAGTTTTTGCCAAGCACTTTTGTATAGATAGAGCGGACTAAACAGAATCGAAAAGTTCTCTACCAATTTACAGTTTTCGCAATGGTTAACGAGATATTAATTACTAAAAATCGCTGAATATATTGATTTTCAATAATTTTTTACTCAAATACTATCTCATCTTTACAGAATAACAGCGAGAGACAAAAATTGTTTATTTCCTTCTCATCAAGTTCTGAGAATTTTTTTAGATTTTCTTCAGAATTTTTTAATACCGTATTTTCTCATGTTGGTAAAAATAAGAAAATGCAATCAACTAAAAAGTTGATTAAAAAAATTCTAAAAAAAATTCTTAGAGTTCTATGAAGAAAATAAATGATTTTTGTCTCTTGCAGTTTTTCTATAAAGTTGATAGTATTTGAGTAAAAAATTATTCAAGACAAATATATTCGGCAATTTTTAATAATTAATATCTTGTTAACTATTGCGAAAATTGCAAAATGGTACAGGACTTTTCGACTCAGTTTAGTCTGCTCTGTCTACACAAAAGCGCTTAGCAAAAATTTACGGGACACTCTGTATATAAAATCAGTAGATATTAAAAATATAAACATATAATTATGAACATATGCTTTTCAAATTTCTGAAAATAATTTATTTTACTACTACATTTTCATTTACTACTACTACATTTTTTGTCATATATTTTAACATCATATAAGAATTAAAAAATTTATACATTTTCATTTACTACTACTACATTTTTTGTCATATATTTTAACATCATATAAGAATTAAAAAATTTATTATTAGATTTCTGTATTAATTATTTATGATATACATTATTTTTGTATTTTATCTTTCGAAAAATTAGATCATTTGAGACATATATTGTATCGATATAAAAAAGATATTCATATTGTTAAACTAAGGAAATATAGTTGATTATAGCATAAATTTTATTGGATACGCATTTATGTATCTTCCAAATTAAAAATATCAATTTAAGCAGATAATCAATTTAAAGTTTTTTAAATTTATAATAAAACGACTTTGTATAAACTTTTATATTGTTTATTAAATTTTAATTTATAATTAATAAATTTGAATAATAAATTTAATTTAATTTAAGAACGTCTTTAGAAATTATAAGATATTGTTCCTACAACGGTTGATGTAAATTAAAATTAAAAGAAAGAGAGAAAAGAGAACAGAATATAATTAATAAATAATATGTATAATATTTAGCAAGTAATGTCTCATGGCGGATTACAATATTATGTTTCACCCGTGGCTAATCATGCTTCACGAGTCCGAAGATTTGGTTTCACACTACTAGATGAGCTACGTCGAAATTTTTGTCACTCGCAATGTTGCACATCTGCAAATACTATGCCATATATCTTTAATCTTATGTGTGCTACAAAATGTCCTGAATTGTATTTACCACATCGTACGACAACGGAAAGTAAGTACAATGGAAAGCAAGATCAACTTCAGTAATTACGATTTCAGTAAATACGATTTTATAATGCATAAAGATTGTAGAAAAAAATCAGCATTTAAAAATTAATTCTAGAATATATCCATTAACTGTAATTGCTTATTTTATAGAAATATTAAAAGTAATCGAATAATTTCTTTAAATTATGATTATTTCCTTTATGATTATCCAGAATTTATTAATTTCATATTGATCAACGCGATCCTTTATTAACAATTTTGTTTATATTATACATGAAATTATACATATCCTAGGAAAGATATATCAAGTAATTACACTGCATGACTTTGAGTAAAATTACGCTAGTCAATCATAAAGAGTCATATGATCAGTTGGCGTCTATCAATGCCTATTCTTGGGAGCAAGAAATACGCTAATCAATCACAGAATAGCTCAGTCATATCATCAGTTGCACATCTTTCCTAGGACTTTTAGATGAGATTATAGTGTGTTTAGGAATTACGATGCATGATATGCATTTTGCTATAGTATACGTAACGTAAACTATAGTCTAAAGTTATTTGGATTTTATTAAGTAAAGTTATTAGGATAAATTAATCTAATTTCCAAACAATTTAATTATGTATCTAATAATTTTAGCACTATATGTGCAACATATATATTGCATATATTTTATATTCTGCATGAAGACGGTAGTAATTATAAGTTTTACATGTATATATACATTTATAATTGTTTATTGATAACAAATATCCTAATATCTTTGTTTGTAATGAGTTATGAAATATAAAATCGAATACTTAATGTACTAATAAATCATTCAGTTCATTTAAGTCAAAATTCAATGCAATCAAACATCGAATTTAAAATAACTACTAATAAATAATTTTAATAATATTAATATAATAGGTAATTAATATTTTAGGAAGAAAATGTATTTAATGTAATTAATTGATTATTGGTAATCCCTAATCAGGTACGACAGCGAAAATCACATCAACTACACTAGCAGATACTACAACTATTACGCCTCTGCCTGCACAAGGTCCGAACTTAATGCCCCAGCCAACACCAGAAATGAGCGCAATGCCTCAGTCCGGATCAGGTACAGATGGAACGTCTCAGAGGTTCGGGCCAAATTCGAACAGAATATCCTCGTTCGGATCAAGTACAGGTGGAACGTCTCCGACCGGACCAGATTCGAACACAAAACCTTCGTCTGGATCAAGTACAGATGAAATGTCTTTGACCGAACCAGGTTTGAACATAACGCCCTAATTCAGATCATCAGATACAGGTGCAGTACCTCAGTCCGGACCAGACCCGAACCCAGAATCCATAAATGGTTAAAAGTACAAATAAAAAGCAAATTATTACATCAGAATAAGAAAAGTTGATGATATGAATATAAAAAGTTCGATAGCAATATAATGATACTAACAACAAATACGAGATTGTTAACGATCAATGGAAATAAATGCAACAAATGCAAAGCTGAAAAACTCTTTTAATTTTTTTTAAAAGGTATGGTATGTTAAAATTATTTTATACAATTTGTATATTTTCAATTTACTATATTATATCGAATATAAAAACGTTTATAATCTAAATAAGATAAAACATTGCAATTATGTATTATCTGATTCTTATTAAGGTTATTAATTAAGTTTATTAATTCAGAACGCTCAACTTTAGTAAGCTATCCTAGTCCAATTTTGATGAAGTTTTACATGTAGTACTAACTAAACGTAGTCAAACTTAAAAGAAATGCCGAGTTGCGGAAATGTTTATTTTTCGAAATATTCAAATTTTATTTAATCGGCTTAATTAACGTTTTCTGAGATTTTGATATAAGAAAATAATTAGAATTACAAACTGTTTCGTTGACTAGATAGTTTTATGTTAGTATATGGAGAAATTGTATTTACGTATAATGTTTACAAAATATCGTTATAAAAAATGAATAAAGTCTTATATTTTTATATTTTATTGTATTATAAGTATTTCAAATACACATACAAGGAAATAAAATTAAACATTATTTATAGTTATATCTGTTGTTTGATTAATAATTCATACAGGAAAATTACTTTTTAATTTCATGAAACTATCACCTTGCATAGGGGTCTTTGCTAATCTTCACGAGGTCATTTTTAGTATATGGTAGATTCGTTATTGTAGGAAGGCGAAAAATTTAAGCGTGTCGATTAAATTTAAGTTTTGTATGATTCATGTTAATAATAATGCATAGGAACTTGGAATACGTTCGGTATTGGTGAGCAATTATAGTACTGCTCTGATTGTATAGAAATTGCACAAAACTTATAGTGGTGCTTTCCATGTGTGTTTATTTTAAATGTTCATTTTGTATGTCTTATTACATACGAAAAATGAATTTGTAAAGATTAATAAAGGCCTCAACGCAAGATGAGGAAATTAAAAGTAATTTTCTATACAAATTATTAATCAAATAAGATAGATAATTAAAAATAATGTTAAATTTTACCTCCTGTTGTTATTTAAATACTAATAATATAATAAAATATAGGAAAATGAGATTTTTATTCTTTGTTTTTTCTTTAAATAATTTTTTATTAACATTGTACTTACAATTTCTCAATATACTAACATAAAACTATCAAGTCAAAATAGTTCTTAATTCTAATTATTTTTTCATACCAAAATCTTAAAAACGTTAGTTAAGCCGAATAAATACAATTAGAATATTTTGAAAATTAAATATTTCCGCAAATGATCCGCATTTATGGATTTAACTATATTTAGTTAGTACTGCATATCTAAAATTTCATCGAAATTGAATTTATTTGAGTAACTATTACTAAATTTTTATTATTAAGAATTACTGACTTATTGTCAGTAATAACTAAACAATGAATAGTACAAAAATTCGATAAATTTTATAAGTCTGTACTTTATACAATAGGTGTCATAATATTCTTCAAATATTACATTTCAAGAAAGATTTCTTCTCTACCTAGAAACACTGTTGTAGAACGTTGATAAAAACGATGTTGACATTACCAACGTTATTGTTTCTAATGTTTCATCGATATCATTATTCACTCAAAAATGAAAATAATATAAATAATATAAGAATGTATATTATCTTTTTTAAAATATTCATATTTTAACATTTAGCTTTTTGTATAGATTTAAAACAAATAATTTTATAAAAAATTGAACTACTAAATAAATCAGCAAGCAATATTTATTTACACACACACACACACACACACACATATATATATATTAGACTGACAAGAAAAAAATTTTTTTTTAATTGGTCTCTCGGCTCAAAAGCTTCCATTTCATGCCAAAAGAACACCCCTAAATTTTTATCAAAAAATATTAAGATTTAGAGATCGCTAGTGAACGATTTTTAAAAGTTTTTCAAAGTTTTAATTTTCTTTGAAACATATTTGATTTGATGCAAAAATAACTTAATCCGGATTTTAAATGTGATACTGTATATTTTTTTGATCGTTGAACACGATACAATAATTCATTTAGCTCTTTGTAATATACCTACGCCTTAAGAAATACAGCCCGATTAATGTGAAAAAAATGACCAAATTTCGAGTTCAAGGTCGATTTTAGCAATGTTCCAAGCATTCAAATAGGTCGTTATTCCCCTCAAATGGTAGGTCTATTCATTCAGAATAAGAATTCCATCCAACTGGAATTTTCCCGGGACCTCCTACAGAGCCTTTAAAGGTTGCATTTAACTGGATTATAAAATATTTTTAAGAATAGAAAATTTTTTTACAAGTTTTAAAGTATATCGCTTTGTGGTTTTGACATCCTCAAATCAAATGCCTCAATTTGACGATAAAAAAAACTCTATTAGAAAATGAAATGAGTACATAATATTTAAAAAAATATGATTTAATTAATTGAAATAAACTGCATATTATGTAGTATATTTTTTCACTTATTTTATTTTCTAATAAAGAGTTTTTTTTATCGTCAAATTGAGGCATTTGATTTGAGGATGTCAAAACCACAAAGCGATATACTTTAGAACTTGTAAAAAAATTTTCTATTCTTAAAAATATTTTATAATCCAGTTAAATGCAACCTTTAAAGGCTCTGTAGGAGGTCTCGGGAAAATTCCAACTGGATCTTGCTCTGGGTGAACAGATCTATAATTTGAGGGGAGTAACGATCCATTTGAACGCTTGGAATGTTGTTAAAATTGAACTTGAATTCGAAATTTGGTCATTTTTTCACATTAATCGGGCTGTATTTCTTAAAGTATACAGGGTGTCCCATTTTAATTGTCCACCCCAAATAACTTTCTTATTTTTGATTTTAGAGAAAAATGTTTCAGACAAAAATTGTATGGTTTCGAGGGGGTCACAAGATGGTACCATTGGTTTGACCTTGGATAATCATTTGAAAATTACATGAAGGTCACCTTCAATTTCTTAAATGGAACATACCATTTTTCATTACATATTCTCGTAGCTTATCTCGAGAGCTTTCCAAAACACTACAATAAAATATTTTTCTATTGCGTATTTTCCGAGTTATAAAGCTTTAAGTTTGCGGTATCCTTTCTAAAAAAAAGGAGATGTTAAATCGATACTCGAATGTATCGAAGTTTATTGTTGTCGCTTTTCCGCGATGCTGATTGGTTCTCTCGCTGCGTTTACTTCACGAGTATCTGTCATTGCCAAAATTGTGTGTTTTGACAGTTCCGTATTTGAAAACATCCTGCATAAATGTTAAAACTTAAAGCTTTATAACTCGGAAAATACGCAATAGAAAAATATTTTATTGTAGTGTTTTGGAAAGCTCTCGAGATAAGCTACGAGAATATGTAATGAAAAATGGTATGTTCCATTTAAGAAATTGAAGGTGACCTTCATGTAATTTTCAAATGATTATCCAAGGTCAAACCAATGGTACCATCTTGTGACCCCCTCGAAACCATACAATTTTTGTTTGAAACATTTTTCTCTAAAATCAAAAATAAGAAAGTTATTTGGGGTGGACAATTAAAATGGGACACCCTATATATATGACTACTTTTTAATTTTCTGCATGGAAAAAAAAGATATAGTTCACATAACTAAAAATATTTAGTTGTCAGCAATATAGAATCATCCGAGTTATCTTTATGTGATAGGAATATGTATGGTTATACGATACGATTTATTTACTTTGATGTGTCATCAATGTAATTAGGCGCGATCTGGTTGTGACAACCAAAACTTGATTGGGAGATCATTTATTATGGATAAGTTATATATCTGTATAGTTGCGTCAATCGTGACATTATAAAGCATGATGTATAATAATAAGAATTAAATTATTAATAAGAATTTTTTGTTACATCATGCTATAAATTAAGTTGCAATTTCAAAAAGCAAAAGCGACTCACCACGCTTACTTAATTAAAAATAAATACGTATATGTGAAATGCCGTCATTGCTGCAACATAACCTAACCTAACCATTGTACTATGGTTCAAGCAACCACATAAATAGTTGCTATTGTACTATTTAATCTGGTTGGCATCACCAGATTTTTGTGCAAACCAACCATACTGTTTTTTTCCGTGTGTTTCTTAACTTTTATACTTGGGCTTCTACAAATGCAATAAAATTCTTTTCAAATGTCATAGATGTTTTTTTATATGTCGTAATATTCATTTCAATGTATATTTATTTGAAAACTGTTTTCTCAGATTTAATGGGAATTATCATATTTGCATAATCAATCTTATCACATTAATTATATGTATGAGCAATTATTCGCTTTTATAAATTTAATTTGCATGAATATAAATTACATTTAAAAATTATTTAACATTTTTATATATAACATACAAACGGACATTGAAATGAAGCACGCCGATAGAAAGAAAAGAGCGAAACCCATCAATGTAGAAAATAAGACCTTGCTCTCGTTGTGAAAGTAATGTCGGGCACTATTACGAGTTACGAGAAGCTTACATCCTCTCACTTTCTGCGTGCACATACAATGAGTTGTTGACGAATTATAACAAATGGATTTTAACACAGTAAAGTCAAGTCATAAGGATAAATAAAGATAAAGACCTGCCAAACCCTGTTAATGTTAGCTGTGATTAATAAAAACGCGCAGCATTTTCTCATTTTCATAATTAAAGATGCAACTTGAAATTCTCTTCACATTAACATAGTAAAATTTTAGAAAGTATTTTATTTAATAATTTATAACATTTAATTTAAATTTCTAAGATTTATAATAGTTTGTTTTATGTATTGATTTTTTTAAATGAATAAAAATCTACAAAAATAATAGTTATATTTTCTAATAAAGTCTTAAAATTTTTTAATTGATAATTATTTATTGAAAACTGTTATTTAAAAAAGAAATGTTTATATATAAATAATACATATA